CGTTACCGAAACAAGATAAATTATCTTTTGTTTTGTTATGATGTAATTTAAGATCCAAATTGATACGAAGAAAAAGAAAAATCAATGTTTTACATTTAAGTAGGCAAGTATGTTAAAATTTCATTGAAAAAAGGTTAGATATCTCGTAATGCATGTCATAATTACTGAAATAAATAGTAGTACAACATTATTAGCATAAATTGTAGATATAATGTTTTAGCTAATAGAGGCTACTACTTTACTTATGAATGATATGTAGAGCATTTGTCTTCTCCATATGATTAGATATATTTTTCTCAAAAAAAAAAGTTTTGAACTATTTATGAAAATTTAAATAAATTTTTAATTTTTTATTATGTTTAATTAAATTTTTATGTTTGATCAAATAAGTTTTTATGATTAATAATTAACTAATTATCATTAATCAAAACATATATTATCATTTTATGTCTATGTGCTGTTAAGGTAGCATTGATATGGAGTGTAAAAAATACAATATATTCATGTAATCATTTTATATCTTCATCTCTTATGACATGTCAACATGCCACGTGAATATAATGCTAACAAGTGATATTTTGATTAAATCAACTTTATTTGATTAAAAATTTAAATATAAAAATTTATTTAATTTAAAATAAATATACAAACGTATAATAAAAATATAAGAATTTATTTGATTTTTTTAAAATATTATGCCTAATTACTTGGGGTTTACTTACGTAACCAATTGATTTGATTCAATTATTGGAGGGAGGGGCACGTCAAATTTACCTTTTCTGGGCAAATAATTGATTCAATGTAGGCAAGTGACCATAGAAATTAGGAGAATTGCAGTTGCACCCCACGTTTGAAGGACAAGTGTTCTCTTTTTATTCATATAAAAAACGTGTTCTGTCTGTTTAGTCACGGCATGGACTCCAGTTCAATACCTTCACCAAACTGGCCAAATCTAATCTAATCAATTTAGAGCTAACAAAGCATTTGCTTTTGCTAATGGAGAGGATAAATCACAGTTTTAATATTATTTTTAATGATTTGTGAGCTCAAATTTACACTATTTGTATGTTATAAGAAGAGATTATGATGTAATTAACCTTTGGATTAAAAGGGCCATTATCATCTATGTTTTTGTTGGTTAAATGATTAAGATAATCCATTGTTAGAGATAAAGGGCGAAAGATTACAATAGAATTTGGTGAGAAAGAAAATGTGAAGTTCCCAAAATAACCCTAATGTGAATGCAAATGGAAGCAGAACCCAGCCGGCAATTTGGACTAATACGCAAAATTATTGTCCATAATACCGGTCAACTGTCCCGTTAAAGTAGTCACATTCGTAGCTAACAAGTCTCTTCGTAAGTTGTAACAGAAAGGTAGAGCATGTTCCAAAAATATCCTAAAGGTTTTGAAATATGAGAGCAAGTGTTTGCCAGGCTTTTCTTCCATGGCCAAATCTACAACACAGCAATCTGTTTGAGGCCATCAAGTGAGAGACCATGACCCAGATTTGCCCCAAAATGGTTAAACTCAAACTCAGACTCAGAGTCCACCGTCGCCTTTTGACTCTGCGACGCTGCATTCGTTGCTTCTGGGATAGAATTCTCATGTGTTCCCTGGGGAAGCCTATTAGGTATCGAATGTTACCACGTGCAGCCAACGCCAGCGCCACCACTACCACCACCGCTGTGCCTTCGCAGTCTTCTGCCTCCGTTGACGGCAGTTTTTCAGCGTCGAGGGACGTGACGCTTCCCGCGTGTCACCATAACCACCATGATAGTAAGGATTCAGATTTAGTTCCATTGAAGATCAGTCTCTTGGGTGATTCTCAAATTGGAAAGACTAGTTTTCTGGTCAGTGTCATTAGCTTAACTTCCTAATCTTGTTTAAGTATTACTGGTTTTGTTCTATTGAAATATCAATGCATCTTGTCATGGTCTTAAAGGTGAAATACATTGGGGATGAGAAAGATGAAAAGGGAGCCATTCAAGAGAAAGGGTTGAATTTGATGGATAAAACTTTTTTTGTAAGAGGAGCAAGAATATCTTACAGTATCTGGGATGTTGATGGTATGCCATTTTTCTTTCTCTCTGCTTTTAAAAAATTCTTCAGGTTTTCACTTTTGTTGCTTATAGGACACCCAACAACTTGTTCATTTAATTATAAATGCAGGAGGTCAGAAATCCAAGGATCACATTCCCCTGGCTTGCAAAGACTCTGTAGCAATTCTGTTCATGTTTGACCTAACAAGCCGGTGTACTTTAAACAGGTATGATCATACATTATACAGTCCAATATCTCCATTTCAATTAACAATGAAAAAGAATTGCTGTATTGCCTTGATCTCTGAAATCTGGGTAGGATTCTAAATTGAAGGAGTATTTATTCTCTGGTTGCAGTGTCATAAGCTGGTATCAACAAGCCAGGAAATGGAATCAGGTATTCACTTTTTTACTTTTATCATACCATTGTTGAAATCCAGAGTAGCTTTCATTCCTTTGTTCCAGGTTTCTGCTTCTATTTTAAGAATTATATAAGTATTTATGTAACTAGATGTCTATAAAATGTCTCCTAATTATGCAAAGCTTTGATTATGCAGACAGCAATACCGATTTTGATAGGAACCAAATTTGATGATTTCATCCAACTTCCCATAGATTTGCAGTGGACAATCGCTAGTCAGGTAAATTGCTGGTCCAAGACAAATTTTCTTTTCCATAGTTTAATTGCCATCCTTGAAGCCCCGTATCACTTCAAACTGGTCTAAAAACAATTCGCACTCCTGGTATCTTGTGTTATTGCTTCATGATCAAATCTATGAATTTCGAGATGTAAATATAAAGGGGAGACTTGGAGAACAACCAAGTCAATGTTTGAGAGTTAAAACATGGAGGACCTATGAAGTAAATCAGGGGACAAACAGGGAAACATAACTGGAGAAAAGGGCTTTTGGCTAATTGATTACAGGGAGGCCTACGAGCCACCCGCATTATGGAGATTGTGATCTCTCACCCGTCACCAATTTTCTGATCTTCATTTTTAACCACTCAACAATCCCAACAGATGAAAGATTCTTTCTCTTCCTCCTGCAGTTGGAAGCTGTTTAGAACCGTCTATTGTTGCTGCTTGCATTGCACAACCAAAATTGAATAGTTGAACTTCAATATTGTGTTTCTCATTGCACTAAAAATTTGCTTCTTATTTATGGCAGGCAAGAGCATATGCAAAGGCCCTGAACGCGACGCTGTTCTTTTCAAGTGCTACATACAACATCAATGTAAACAAGATCTTCAAATTCATCACAGCGAAACTCTTTGACCTGCCTTGGACAGTTGAGCGCAATCTCACCATCGGAGAACCCATCATTGATTTCTAAACTTGCTGTTGTAAAATAGACAGACTGCCTTAATTCCAAGAGGTTGATCCTCAGGCAACCGGTCACCAGAGTTAATGTTTCTCATTTGACCTGGTGATGATTCGAGTTGTTTCACTGAGCACTGCCGGAGAGCCCGCAATGACAACAGTTCAGTTGTTCAACAGTTGTAGGAAAAGTGAGAAAACAAAAATGAAATGCTGCATGATAGCTTTGCATATTTCTTTTCAGCTCAGCCGCTATTCACTGATTGAGCAAAGACCTTGCATCCATGGAAGTACCCACATTAATCATGCTTACCATAGGCATTTCTAAATAAAAGTGACCTGCAAAAACTAGAAGCGTAGCTTAGAAGGGGAAAGGATTAAACTAGGTAAAGAACTTGGAATCATAGACGAATGTGCTAGAAAAAACTCTTAAAACCAACCAGGGTCTTGTAACTACTGTTATCTAGCTCTACTCTGACACTGTGCATTTTTCTCACGATTAGAGTCAATATCTGACAGCTAAGTCCAACTTTACGGCAAAATAGTTGCCCACGGAATTTGGTGAGCCAGAAGTCATAAGTCAAAAGGCACATCAATCATCTCTTTGATGGGATGAAACGAACGTCATATGACTGGTTCGGAGATGATGGAATTTGGCAGGCCTATTACTAGCAGTGGATCATTGGATAAGTAACAGGAGAACAGGAATAGAGTAAAAGAAAGGGTAAACAACGGATAAGAAAACTGTAAGAGAAGAAGTATATCACAGAGGCACTGTCATTCAGCCAAAAAGCCAATTGTTAACGAATGCATAATATAAGTCGTACTACTGGATGAGTTTCACCTCTCTCACTCCAGGGGGTTCCACTGCTGACAGTGATAGGTGTACTTCTTTGCTTGTTCTTCCCTGCATGATCACAGTGCACATAGCTACGAATCTACAAATGCAATGCACGATTGGGAGATAAATATGTGAAACTGCCGTCCTAAGGGTTGGGTTCATGCCCAACCATATCTAAAAGCAAATCTTCTGCATTCTAATATCAAGGCCCATATATAAATTATGGTTTTTTCACAAACTCCTCCCTATCCATTCTCCAATGGCTTCTTCTAATATTTATATGTATAATTTAACTTCAAGCAGAAGCTTATCTTATGTTTTCCTTAGGTTGCAATAACACATTGATGTGGTACACATTAATGTGACAATCTAAGAAACCCAATTACCCAAAAAAAAGGAAGGGGAAACCAACAACCATATGATAAGTTATTATTCAAAGCATTTGTATGTATTAAAACAAAATCAAAAAGTAAAATATTTCATTTTTGAATTAAAATGTAACACAATATTAAAAAAATTCATACTTTTTTTAAAAAAAATTATATATGGAGATAAAAATTTATAATTTCAATAAAATAACTCTTCTCTATTGCAAAATAAATCAGTGAAATAAGCTAATTAATAAAGAAACAAATAATTCAACAAAATTTAAAATAAAATTAGATCAAAATTACGTACCATAAGACTTATACTTCGTTCTTACCATCAAGAGATGGCATGGTGGAAGAAAATGGCAGTTTTGTAAATAAGAGAAGTTGACGAGGATAAAACCTTGGCATCAGCTTTAATATTTTTATTATTTAATTTAAAAGTATAGAAATTATCGGGGGGTAAATTTAAAGCAGCGTCGACCATTTCAATCCTTGTCAGAAGTTTCAGAAAATTAGATCCAACTCCCCTCTCTCATTCCCTGCTCGAGAATCCAAATTGAAAGGAATGGGAATTCTGTGCAAGGTTGTTGACGCGCTGCTATTGGTAGTGTTCGTGGTGATATTGTTGGCGGGGCCTTTAATCGACGCCCAGATGGTTTTGCCGGAGAGCAGCTTCCCGGACGTGCTCATCCGTCTGAAGCAATTCTACGCCAACGAGTACCAAGATTATTTGATGGTGGAGAAGCCCCATTTCTTCGTTGCCCTTGTCTGGTTGGAGCTTGTTTTCCAGTGGCCTCTCGTCGTGCTTAACATTTATGGGATTTTGGCATCCAAGCCTTGGTTCAACACCACTTGCCTCATCTATGGTGCCTCTGTTATTACAGCCATGGTAAATAAAAAAAAACAAAATTACTCCCACCCTTGTTTGGAATTTTAAATTTAATTTTTTTTTGTTCTTTCAATGATGGGAGTCTAAATTTTAATGCTTGGGTAGTATTTATCACACATTATTAGCTCTTTATTGATGACAGTGCTTTGAACCATGGTAAATTTTAACATTAAATTCAATTAGAGGATCTTAGTTTTGAATTCTTAGATGGAACTATGGAAGATTTTGATCGTTTGATTAATGAGTGATCAAGTTTTGTGCATAATAAATTTTACTATTTTTAATGTTCACATATTATTGTTCTATTCATTAGAGTATATTTACCAATTGAATTTGACTTTCAAATTTAATTATTTTTAACACAAAACTTTACAAACATAATTTAAAAAAAAATTACTTAAAGTGTTGTTGGTTTAAGGTATCCTTATGAAATTTCTGATTAGTACTTTGAATGTTCCTATTGATGGATAAATATTTAATAAACCACTTTTTTAGTAGTTGCAATAAATTGAAATTTGATATGGAACTGAAACTTGTTACATCAGGATAGTGGACTTGTTTATTAAGTATAGTTGATTGAGATATTTTTATGAAATATTGATTTGTAATATGAATGGTAGATAGATTATGATTTTAGTTATAATTATTAAGTCGACATACATATTGTGTATCAAAATTTTATATTTAAGTATTGAGTATCATCAGATGTGGTAAAAAAATTTAAAGTTAATTGTAAGTAACATGTACACCTATAAAATAAAAAAATAAAAAAAATTTATATTTGTTAATAGAATTGAGGATGATATGGTATAAATTGCTGCTTTGTGCATTTCTCATTTATCATTATTCATTCATTAAACGGCCCCGATTCCCAAATCCAATCCCAAGGTATAATCAAACAAAAACAAAACGGCTTTTAATTTAAATGTTGTGGGTTTTCCATTTTCAAGAAAAGGGTTTTCCCTACTTTGCCTTACAACTTCTTAATTAGCAGATAACATGAACCGGATGTGGCTTGAAACCGACTATTGGCTAACACCTCTTTGTCACTCTTTATTCTGAGTTTCTGGCTTTCAAATATTCTATCCATCTTGCCCAATAATCATAACCTTTTTTACTCTGTTACCTTGGTGTAAAATTCAGGCTGCTTTACTAGGGGAGCTGCTGGGATCTCAGAAAGCATCAGATAAATTGTTGATGATGTACACCCCTTTCATGGGAGTTGGTGTTTTAGCCTTGTTGCGAGGGCTGGTTCCACAATCTGGCAGGGCTTCTTCAAGCATCGGCAAAAGACCTGCACTGGCGAGGAAAAAGAGAGCTTGAGTTGAGGATACGAAAGCATCTTCTCGATTTTTTGTAATCGTTTCTTCTCATATTTAGAATGTTTGTGTTTCATCTGTATGATTATTGCCTGATTACGAGTGCTAATGCATTGGAGAGTGCTGTCTTTTGAGGCAGTTTCCATACAGTTGTTTTTGTTCATAACTTATAAGCCATTTCTGTCCAAGGTGGAAATGAAATTCCATCTGATTGCTCTTTGATTGTCAATTGCATCATTGAGTTTAGCTACATTTACTCATAAGAGAAGATCTAGTCAATTAGAAGGCTGCATCTTTCATTACACTATACAGTTTGTTCTTTTACCTTTGTAGATTACGTATGCACATTTGGAAATCTAAGTAGGATCAATTATGGATTCTTTCAATAGGTAAGTTTGTTCTAATGGTATCTGATAGGCGGTAATCTCAAATGTATGACTTCTAATCCTCTATCAGACAGGGACAGAACCGCAAAATCAATTCAAACTATTCTTTAATACAACTAACTTACGGAAAGTAATAAATTATTTGGCAGGATTCGGCTGCATTTACTGATATAATAATTTAGTCACAGGGAAGACTGCATATCCTCTTCGGCTGCATTTACTGATATAATAATTTAGTCACAGGAAAGACTGCATATCCTCTCCGCCAACAAATCCAGAACTTAGATCCAATCTCGTTTTCCCTTCCCATCTCTTCCTCTCTTCTCTTTGTTGAAAACTCAAAACAACGACAATGGGAGCTCTACGCAAGGTGGTGGACGCGATTCTATTGCTAATGTTGGTGCTAATCTCGGTGGTGGCTCCCTTGCTTGACTCGCAGTCTGTTTTACCAGAGCATATGCCCAGACCTGCTGGTTCGTTTGAATAAGTGGTATGCAGGCGAGTACCAAGACATTTTCCTGCTGGAGAAGCCCCATTTTTTCAAGGCCCTGCTCTGGCTGGAGCTTGTTTTCCAGTGGCCTCTCGCTGTGCTTAACGTTTATGGGATGTTGGCCTCCAAGCCTTGGTTCAACAGCACCTGCCTTATCTTCGGTGCCTCTCTTGTTACGTCCATGGTAAACAAAAAGAACTCCTCTCTTTACATTTCTCTCAATAGTTTTTAATTCTAATTAGATTCATCAAAAGTTTTACTAATTACTTACTCTCTCATTGAATGATGCTAACCCAAAAGAGGCAACTCTAAGAATAACAATCGGGCCTAATGAGTTTGGGTTTGGATCGGTTTATTTAGATCTATTCATTTCGGTTTCAAATTGTTTAATTTCAAAGTTATTGAATTGTTTAAATCAATGTTGATTGAGTTAAGTTCAGATCAATTATGATATTAATTTGTAATTTGTTTATTATATCATTTAACTAAATTGAATTTAAGATAAAAATATATAGATCCTCGATTTAAGTTTTGAATTGTTCTAGATTTGATTAAAGTGAATTAAATTTGAATTGTTTCACATGTGTATCGTTTCAAGTTTGAGTTATTTGAGTTTAGAGGATCTTGTGAATTATTTAACTTGGTGTAATGTGTATTATTTCGATTTGAATCTTTGAGTTAATGACTTATAAGAACAATCCTAACTAAATTTCGGATGGATCGTTCAAATTGGATCAATTATTGCAACTTGGTAATAAGTTTTTAACTTCAAATATATCTCTCTTTATATATATGTATATACCGGTGAAGCTAAGATGGTGATGAAGGGACAGTCACCCTTCAATTTTTAATTTTTTTTATTATTATATTTATAACTTGAGATATATAATATGATTACATTTATTATTACTCTTTAACTACTTTTCTTGTAAAATCTTAAACCCGTCACGGTATATATTAATATATATCAATCTTGATTTAAAATCATGGTAACTGAAATGCATTTCTCTAACTCTTGCACTTGGTAACTGTGTTAAATTCCAGGCTGCTATATTAGGGGAGTTGCTGGGATCCCCCAAGGCATCAGATAAACTGTTGATGGTTTACTCCCCTTTCATGGGATTTGGTATTTTAGCCATGCTGCGAGGGCTGGTTCCACACTCCGGCAAGGCTGCTCCAACCACTGGCAAAGGACCAGCACTGGCTAGGAAAAAGAGGGCTTGAGCTAGCAAACAGAACTAGCTCTTCTTCAAAGTTGGTTATTCTTTCTTGTCATATTTACAACATAATCGGTTTCTTTTGTATGATTATTGCCCGATTATAAGTGCTTCTATCTGGCTAATGGAGAAATGAAACTTGGACTTCCTTTTTCTCACGAAAATTAATCTTTCAAACCAAAAAGCTACAAGAACATACTTTTGTATTATGCTCTGCAATATTCAAGATAGTTTTACTATTATATTATGTAATCTTTAAAATTTATATACCATGGAAATTATGCATAGAGTTTAGATATGTCAAATGTCATAAACGATTGGCAATGAAATCGAACAAATGTTTAAAAATGATAAAAAGGGGATTTCATAAAAAAAAACTATTATTAATTAATTTCAAATGATAAAGTAATTCCATTGTTCTATTTTTTCTTCATTTAAATATATTTTTTAAAAAGAGTAAACGAGAATAATTACTTATTTTGATCCGCATAAGAATGGAAATCATTTGGATACATGTAAAAATAACTACAATTATCTATTATTCATATACATTTTAAAAGAATCAAATCACTTAATAAATGGGTTGACAAAATTTAATATGTCACGTAAAAATACTCTTCATATGCTACCTCGTAATATCTATAAAAGACTGTCACTCGTCCTCGTAAAATGAGTAAACATTTTTTTAATACTTAATAATAAAGCTTACCTTCTTCAAAAAAATAGTAGAATTGAAAAGATAATAGAAAGTACAACATAACAACCTCTTTCCAATTTTTTTTTTACTTTAAAGAACAAAAATATAAAATTTAATTCCAATAAGAGAAAGAAACAAACTTAAAATTATTTATAAATATTCTCGGCATGTTCCCCATGGTTGTTGGGTTCAAGAATTACGGCCACCAAACAATTCGAGCAGCAAGGTTCATTAGTCAAGATTATGCAATCATTTATCCCATCCAAATCTTTTTTTTTTTATCATCGAAATCTTTCATTCTGATAACTTTTCAATATCTAAATAAATTCAAAATGATTGCCCTTAATCATTATAATTAAAAATTACAATTGAACTTAATTGAAGTCTTTTAACTGATTTTGGGATTAAAACCAAATTCATCACAATCGAAATTTTTATCAGAATTTTCATACGTGTTTGATATTATATTTATAATTAAATTTACAATTAGAATCAAGCGTTAGTCAGCATCTAGGCCGCCAGTCCAAGAGATCCAAGTTGACTATTGTTTCATTTTGATTTTACGCCGCCGGCGAATAAGGAAAATGAAATCATCTGAAGTTTCAACACTCCCTTTTTCTAACTCGGCTGCACTTCCTAATAGTATAATTTGGTCACAAGGAAGACTGCATCTCCTCCATCAGCAATTCAGAAAATTAGATCAAAATCTCATTTCCCATTCCCCAATTCCCATCCTATCTTCTCGCCCTCTCTCTGTAGGGAACTCTGCACCAAAAACAAAAATGATCAGAGCTCTATGCAAGGTGGTTGACTTGGTTCTGCTGCTAACATTCTTGACAATCTCGGTGGTGGCTCCGTTCTTGGACGCCCAGATTTTTCTGCCGCAGTGGGTGTTCCCAGACGTGCTCATTCGTTTCCATAAATGGTACACGATCGAGCACCAGGATTATTTGCTAATGGAGAAGCCTCATTTTTTCACGGCACTTATGAAACTGGAGCTTGTTTTCCAATTTCCCCTCGCTCTGGTTAACATTTATGGGCTGTTGGCCTCCAAGCCTTGGTTCAACACCACTTGCCTCATCTTCGGTGCCTCTCTTATGACACACATGGTAAATGATAATAGCACCTTTGTCTTATTAGCTTTGATGCTGTTAATTGATGATGCTTTTTACGTTTAATGCTTGAAATATCCATCTTTGTCTTACATTGGGGTCACTGAGATGCGTTTACATCTTCAAATGGCTCTACTCTTACCTTTGTTAACTTTGTGTCAAATTCAGACTGCTATACTGGGGGAGATGGTAGGATCCCAGAAGGCATCAGATAAACTGATAATGATGTACTCCCCTTTTTGGGGACTTGGTATTTTAGCCTTACTGCGAGGGCTGCTTTCACAGTGCGGAAAGGCTTCTTCAGTCGTCGGCAACGGACCTGGGCTGGTTAGGAAAAAGAGGGTCTGAGTCAATGTCTCTGATACCATGTTAAAAGCAGGGTTTGTATGCGGCCAAATCAAGCTAAATAAGGACAAAAATCAAAGTACAATAAACACAGAGGTTCACAAAGATAGAAGAATCTGTATTTGTAATTCTTTCTTGCCATGTTTAGAAAGTTTTATCTCAAAATGTATGATTGCCTGGTTATGAGTGCTAATGAAATGGCGGCAGGTAGTTTCCATAAATTGGTTGATTGATCTTTCATTATGAATCGCAAGATTGATTTGGAAATCCCCTGCAAAAATACACGACCGAAAAAATCATTTTCCGGGTTCTGAATGAGGGATGTGAGATGCAAAACTTCTGTCCATGCATGTTGGATGTTCAATTGTTAATAATAGAAAGTCTTCCTGCAAGGAACGAATCCATGGTTTGATGTAGGTAGGAAGCGACTGGTTTGTATTGTAAAAATCTTCTGGGCTGTTTCACAGACGAGAAACAGTCGAAAGAGAAGTTCAAAGAGTTTGGATTTGTAATATGAAGGACTCATGACTTGTGCCCAAATCTTTGGTAAAGAGCTAAAAACCATCACAGACTTATCGTAGAGCAAACATCAAAAGATCATAAATGGTACAATTTACAGCTGGGGAAACTCTAGTCCACACTCCTTGCGAAGCTAACGCGTTTGCAGACTCCCTTGGGATGAACCCATCGGGGACCTACTGCTGTGTTTATCTGCTGCTTCTGTTCTTTTGTAATGTTATGTTGCTGCAAAGTCCCCTGTCTCTTGTTTCTCTAAGGGGGTACCACCTCCCTGTTTCTGCTTCTGTCTTGTGGTGCTCTGTCTCAAAAACTGTTTCTTGGCAAACACAAAATTCATTATTTGCTGCTACGAAATTGCTTTAAATTGTTTGCGGCCAGTGGATTGAATGGTCCCCAACATCAGAACACCACATTAAATTCGGTTCTAAATAATTATTGGATGCCTAAAAGAGCTATAATAAATATTGTTGTCCCCAGTCCTGGCCCATGGCCTCATTTTTTTCTTAATTTCTCTTCGACTGACGCGGCTTTCGTCACCCCTCACCAGACTCCCAGAGTTCTCCACGGTGTGCAACTGTTCCTTTTCTTTGAATTTTGTCTCTATCTCCGCCTTCTCGGGAGAATAAACAATAGCAAAGTTAATACTCTTGAATTTTACTTGTATAAGGAAATTTTAGGTCTAATATTTTAAAATATTTTAAAATTATTTTAAAAAAATTTAAAAGTTTTTTATTTTTTATTACGTTTAATTAAATTTTTATATTTTTACTTTAAGTTATAAACCCTTGTATCGTTATCAATTAAAATATTACTTGTTATTTATAATATTGACATAGTATTAATATAGAATATAAAATATTACGTAATTATATCATCATATTACATAAGTCAAACACATTACCATAAATAATGACATGCTAATATGCTTTATCAGCACCACGTAGTAAATAATGATAAATGATGTTTTGATTGATGGCAGTTAGTCAAACGTTAATTATAAAAACTTATTTGATTCAAAATAAAAATATAAAAATTTACTTATATGTAATAAAATAATAAAAATTTATTTAAATTGTCTTAAAATAGTGTAGAGTTTTTTCAAGTATTATATCAAAATTTTATGATTAGATATAGTCAAGTTTCATCTTTCAAATTTATCGTATTTAAGCTTAAGAATGATCTTTAATTAAATATAAGAAATAATACATTCCTAAGTTAATGGTCCTTCCGGCATGCGTATTACATAAGACAAAACAATGGGAGTTACACATATATATTGGTTGTTGGAAAAATGTTTGCATAAACTTGCAACACTTTAATAAGTAAGGGGAATGAATTATCGAATGGTGGGAGAACGAAAAGAAAAACATAATTAATATTTGAGAGAGTTCTCTTTATGGCGATATGGAATCTATATATGCACTAAACAACATAAAAATCATGTTCTTTTTTCTTGGTAGGCAGAGCACTAAGGTAAATCCTAAGCCATCTCTTTGCATTTATGTGTTGGGAAAACATTAATGCCTTCCTATGATCAATTTGTTTCAAATCAATCATCTCATATATCAACATGCCGTTGGAATATGACTCGAATTCTTTTATATATATATATAAAATAAATTTTATCAGTATCCTAGTTCACGTTGTATAATAGTAAAAAATACATAATGAAGGACAACTTTTTGCAATCCATTTGCAATACCGAGAGTGAGTTCATTAAGTTTGATGTGGCTCAGGGCATGATGAATATTTGCCAAAAATGAACAACAGACAATCTAGCAAGGCAATGGACTAGCTAGTTACAGTAAAAGGAAACCAAAAGAGAGCAGGAATGACAACAGCAATATCCATTTCAAAAAGCTCTTAAAATGGAAAAAAAAAAACAATAAAAAAAAGGAATTGTCTGCTAGAAGATGTGAGAGCTTTTCACCCATTAGTGCTTAAGAAACACAAACAAACAAAGCGAAGAAGGAAAAAAGGGAACTAAAATCCCATTACTTATACAAGACTCTAAAACCCTACTGAACATAAAAGTCAAACTCCTTTATAATAAGGACCCTCTATAAAGTTCTTTGCATTCACTTTTGGTTTTGTTTTTAGTTTTCTTCCTTGGGGAAGTCAATTCCCGAACCTCTAACTCTTGGAACACTTAATGAATTTGCTTAAGGTCACTTTGTTTATGCCCCCCAAACAAAAGGTCACCATGTCAAAGAGGATCATGCAAGGTGCGCTCTTGACTTCTCCCCATCTTCTATAATTCCAAAATTCTTCAACACCATTGTTCTTACATTTAGTTACCTTCCCTTTTGTCCTTCTTCTGTTAATCGCTGCATCAAGCAGAATAGTGAAGTTAGATCATCGTAATCGTCAACCTACATATCTAAACCAATCTTTCTTTCCATTATAATCCAAATTATAACATATATGAGACCCAAAACAATTTTGAATATCTGGGTTTTTGTTAGAAATCCTTTACTTGAAACCTCGTCTGTGTGCAAAGCTAACTATATGAAGTGATTTGCAAAGCAGATTTAAGGGTTTACCGGTAAAACAAATACAATTAAAGGATGGATAAAACAAGTGTAAAAGTTGAAGTAGCGTTTAACGTACCTAGCTAGCTACAATTTAAGGCTATGGCAGCTCATGCATTCTCGCATGACAGTGAAGCCTTTATCCTTTCAACAGTGCATGCAATCAAATTGTTAACTGTTGCAACCGATCCAAGAGAGAGTTTTGCAGTAGGAACAGAGTCGACCAAAATCTGAAATGCAACAGTCAGAAGAGAACCAGCAGAGCCGGCATCACCAATGCCACCTGCACTTGCTGGAGTTCCATCGGGCAGAATAGCAAAGCCGGAGGGAAGAAGGGCCACGTAGTCCGGATCCCCTCCATTTAGCACTACATTCATTGCAACAATATCGACAGGAGCATAGATTACGAAAGAGGCTGTTGGATCTGCGCAACTCTCTTGTAAAATCAGCATGTTGCTCTGACTTGAATTTGCACTCTGTACATGCAGATTAATAATTAAATTAAGGAGGAGCAGTTGAAGAGATAATCCCCCACAAGCTGGGTGGATCAACAATTATTTTATGTGCAACTTACATTTACCCGAAGTAGTGAAACACAATTGCCTGTATCCCGACCATTAGCAATGTGTGCCATTTCTTGGACAACTCCACCATTAGAAAGAATATCCCACTGTATTTAGGACAGACTTGTAGGATCAATTCACTTGTGACACTATTTAACACAAAGAAAGATTTCTTGCAATACTTTAAAAACTTTCTTGAGAATACATCCATTTTTCATCGTAAGCACTTTAACAAAACATGATGACAGCTCTATGCCAATTAATCATTTACAATTATTTTAAATACAAATCTTTATTGGTGAAAACAAATTAAAAACACAAGATAAACATGTAAAATATGCAAAATGATTGGTTAGTACTTTAAAGCACATGTTAAACTTATAATTAAAAAATATATATATCTACATTCAATATATTGAAAATTATATGAAGATGTGTCAAATAATCTATGGGGTTTTTTTCTTTTTTTAAATCTCAAACCAATAATCTATGATAAGTTCAACAAGATTGAACAAGTGGAATTATTACCTGACACAAAGGGAACTGATTGAAATAATTAGAGTGCAATAAATCAGACACATTTTTCAACTATGGGAACCAAAAAAATAAATACACCAACTATCCAACTCGATTTGACAGGCTAAACTAAGACTCCAGTACATTTCCATAAGATAATTAAATTTTTATATAAAGTTATCATATTCGACTGACTAACATATATAAATGCAGTCACTTGAAACCTACACAAAAGCATACTAAAGGAAGAGAAACTATATTTATGCAACAATATTTGATCATTTGAGTAAAACTTGTTTTTTCCCCTTTTAATCAATGCATGCAACAAGCAGGAAAATGAAATTTTCAGAAAGAGTTTTAAACATACCTCACTTCGAGAATTCTCATCTCGGAGGAAATCAAATACCCTCTTGGGTGAAACAGGAAGCCAGAAGGAAGTTGCAGCGCTTAGCACAATGCCAGGAGGTCTGCCTGGATCATCAACACTCTTTCTAGTCATGACCCTAACATCATCAGCCCCAGTTCCAGATAATGTCGTCCATGTGTGAGCAGTAGAGGCACTCACTCCAGCGCAGAAACTTATTACCATCCGCTCAGCTAGCTTCAGCATACTCTTTCTCCCATCTTGATTTGTTATGACTGGGTAAACATCAGCATTGGAGAATATATACTTAGCATTTAACATCTATGATTACATAGAAAAAGAGTTGTCTTGAAATATTACCCCCAACATCACCAGTGGTAATGTTAGTAGCCATGACACTTGCAAGCCTCTCACACTGTCGATCTAAAGTAGCAATCCAACGTTTTGCTCCGAAAGCATGGCCGGAGCTTACCAGCTGCTTGTACAGATTGTGAACACCTCTATCATCAACTTCTACATGCTCAACCCATGTAACCTAGATTGCATAAAAAGCCATTGAGCTTGAATGTAATGGAATCGGAAAGTGGTAGTATGGATCAAAGACAAATATGATATAGAGAAAAATAACTGTTTTACCTTTGAGTACCCATTGGGCATTTCTTGAATTAAGCACCCTGATGGCCTTCTTCTGCATCTTACTGTTGGACTAGGGCGTAAGTTATCCAAGG